TGATAGCCCCAAGTTGTTATTTCTTTTAGTTTTTTGGGTATTTTTTAGCATTTTCTTTTAATTTGTTTTTTTTAAACTTGCTGACCACTTAGAGCCTTTAGCATATCAGTTTTAAATCCCCCACCTGTTTAAATTATATCGTATCTGAGTCCAGTTCTGTTATTTTCTCTCTAGACTCTTCTTAGTTTGCCTTGTAATTTTTTTGTTGAAAGCTCAATATTAGGAACTGGATAACAGAAACTGAGGTGAACGTGCCTTTAATGTGAGGTTATGTATCTGTCTGGCTAGGGGTTACACTGTGTTTACTGTTTGCTGTAACTGTGTGTCAGAGGCTAAGTTTTCCTCTGGTGTCTTCATCTCCTGGTGTCTTTAGAATTCCCTAGAGACTTAAGTTCTGAGGCGTGTAGTATTCAGTTGTGTCCCTCTGCTGCTACATAGGGGACAATGATGTGGTGGCTACATTGTGAGGGAAGAGGAAGCATTCTTGATTTCTGTGGTCCTACGACTAGGTCCGGTTTTTAGTGAGCCTGCGCCCTTGGGCTGTGATCCTCACATGTCCCCCCACCACTTCCCCTTTTGGGGGGCAGGAAGGCTGGATGGGGCTGGAGTTGAGTATTTCCCTACCTCCTTGTTGGTCAGGCTCTGGCAAATTGAAGGCAGACCTTGTTAAGAACAGAGCACTGGCATGTATCAAGGTGATTACTATCCAACCCCACCCCTCAAAGATTGTGGGACTTTTCTGCCTTCACTGGGAGAACCTGATAGGGCTCTGGGGATAAAACTCAAGTGTGGGGCCTCTAGAACTGGGCCCCCTTTTAATTCAAACTTGTCCATCCCAGCAGTCCCCAGTTCCAGTTTAGTTTCCCTACTCCAGTACAGGGTCCTGTGAAGGTTTCTGCTCGGGAAAGCTGTTCTCTATATCTGCCTGTCTTTCCATTTTGGGAGCAACAATTTGCCCTATGACCTCAGTTTTCTTTTGGGAGTTTATCAATAGTTCCCAATTTTCAGTTTGTTCCATTTTCCTAGTCATGTGCGTGGAGTGACCACTTCCAAGCTCCTTACTTGATGGGAGACTTTTGGTTTGGGGCCACTACCCGAACCTTTAAAGGCACTCCCCCATCCAGGACAAAGTAAGATTCATCCACAAAATCATTTGTTATAGGAAGGTTTAAGAGAAATTCCTCCACCAAGACGGGTTATGTTACACATCTCCCATTACGAGAATAGCCTGTTTTGAGCTTGGAGCCAGATGGACTAGGAGCTCAATAAACCTCTGCCCACGTTGAACACTGGCTTCTGCTTTAGGGGAGCCACCTCCTGACTTAGGATCCTAGGATATCACTCTTGGTTAGACAGTATCTTCCCTCCAGATCCCGAGAGACTAAGTTCTAATAGTGAGAAAAGTCAGTCCTGTAGTACAGGCCCAGAGCTGCGTCTTCAACGGGAAGACGACAATTACATGGTATTTGACAGTAAATTGCCAAGTACATTCCCTGTGCACGGCTCTTGGCATCTTGACTGGGCATGCTTGTGTTTAATCATCTGTAGAGAATTTGTTCTCCTGAGATTCTTTGAAGGATAATAGTATCAGACAGCTGCTGGTCCCACGGGAGGAAAAGAGCAGGTGCTTACTTGGCTTGGATCTCTAGTTTAGACACATTTGAATAGTCTTACTATATTTTGTGTCGGCCTTTTTTTTTTTTTTCAATTGGGCTTTTTTTAATCTTGTTTTTTTGTTTTTGGTGGGGGGAGGTATAATTAGGTTTATGTATTTATTTTAGAGGAGGTACTGGGGATTGAACCCAGGACTGCACGCATGCTAAGCATGCGCTCTACCACTTGAGCTATACCCTCCCCCCTGGTGTCAGCCATTTTTATTCTTAGACTATTACAACAAAAAGAGGCCCCAAACCATGTGAGGATGTTGGAGGTACGTCCTCTTGCTCTTTGCTATACGCTGGTCGAACAGCCAAAGCTAGGATAGATCTTGCCCTCAAGTTCAGTGGGCCTGCTGCTCATCTGTTAGCTGAACAGTAGGATGGGTTTCTTGAGTTGTTTCCCCAAATTCAGCTCAGTAGGGAAGCTTAGACAGGTGTGCAGGAGTAAAGTTAGCCAGCGAGCTGCTAACGGGTTCTGGAATGTGGGGATGTTTTGCACATTTTGAGGCAGTTACTAGATTCGTTGTATTCAGTGATGTAACACAAATAGTTATCAGATTGTTGTAGACCCGTTCTGCTTGCTTGTGCCAGGAATGCCTCCTTCAGGCATCAGCATTACAACACAAATGCTTATCCTTAAGTATTTGGGGATCTTTCTCTGAAACCCAACGTGAGAAGTTTCGGGTAACTAAACTGAACAGAAACACCAGTTTTGAGCATCTGATGCAGAGAAGTAAGGAGTTCCTCATCATGACAGAATTCAACTTGCTTAATAGTTGGCAGATGTGATGAGAGTCTGAGATTAACCCACCAGTACTTCTGAGTTGCACTAAGATCCAATTTATAAACCCACACTCTTCCACTACCACAGGAAGGCTGAAGAAGCAGCCATGTTAGAATTGGATGCAAGATAGGAGGATATCAGGAAAAGGTGGCAGAAAAGCTTTATAAGCAGAGACAAAAAAAACAAGTTGACCTGAGGACGCACAGGTTGCATACTCAGATCAACGTGGCTAGCTTCTAGGCTGGAGCCAGCTGCAATGAAAATAAAGTAGGCCCAAGATTCGAAGAACAGAGATGAAAGCATTTTACTACCTTAAGGTGAAGACAGATTTTAGGACTCAGCTTTAAATAACCGTTGCCA